GCAGCGAGCATAGGCGGCGAGGTTGCGCCCCGGCGCCCGAGACCGGCGGCTGCGGGGGGCGGGGGCTGCGCCCGAGCCGGATCCGGCGCTCCGGCTCCGAGGTAAGCCCCGCGCGGGCGGCCACCGCTCAGCGCCGCGCACCCCTGTCCCCAAAGTGGCGGCGATACCGAGAAAGTCGCTCGGCTGGGGTTCGGACCTGGGTGGGGGCAGCTGCTTTGTCCCGGTGCCGGGCGGCGGGGGCTGGCGGCGCGGGGGCACCCAGCACAAAGGCCTGGCGCGGGAGGGGGGATTGCCCACGTGGGCTGGCCCTGGCCCCGGGTGGACCCTCCCCACGCGGGCGGGCGCCGAGCTTCCGGCCGCGCGGGGCGGGATGTGGGGGGGGGCAGGTCCCCGCACTCGGGCCTCAGTGCAGGGCCGAGCGCCCTGCAGGGCCAGCGAGTTTCCGGGGTCAGAACCGGGCTCACGCAGCTGGGGCTTCGGGGCGCACAGGGCCCGGCTTGGCGCCCAAATCAGAAAAAGTCTCTAACGGGACAGATGTGCGTCCTCTGACGCCCACCCCGGGAGTCCCAGACGGGGCGGGAGGGGCCGGCGAGCTGGTGGTGGTCCCAGGTGCGTGGGGTCGGGGGCCCAGCGCTGGCCGCACGGAGACGCGGGTCGCTGCCTCCGGCTCGGGCTGCCAGCGGGTAGTCCCTGACCTGGACGCGCGCACTGGGTACACACTTGCAAACGCCCCTCTCCCGTAGCCGAAACGCCTTTCGGTCCTCCCGCGCCCCCCGCCTCGACTGCAGCAAGATAAGCTTCAAGTTTTCACTCCGTGTCTCAAATGTGCATGAAGGAATTTAACTGCACGAGTGAATAACAGCATTAGTTTCAATTAATTTTTTTTAAATCCCGGCAACAATAAACTTTGAGAACAAAAGCGCTTTTACGTCCTTAATTAGGCGAGCTTCCCATCTGTGGTCTCTAAGTGTCTGCCTCTTGATTTAACTTTGCCCTCCGCCCCGCCCCCGCCGCACACCCCTCCCCGCCCTGCCAGGCACTTCGGGTTCCGTGGCCACCCCCGCCCCGCGGCGCCGCCGGCCTTGGCTCAGCCGGCTCTGGCCGCCCCGAAGTTCACACCGGCCGGCGGGCTCTGCGGCGGGGCTGGCGCGCACCAGGTGGCACGTCCGCCCCCCTCCGGGGCCCCCCACCTCCCACCCCCCGGACAATTCTGCAGGCCCCTGGCACTCTCGCCCGCGGCTGGCGCCCAGGGCGCAGAGCTGAAGGGAGCTCGCGAGGCGCCTTCTGTTTACCTTTTATGGTTAAAATAACAGCTTAGCAAAGAAGCGACTTCACGAAGAAGCGATTTAGTGAAATCGTCTCAAGCTGCCGCAGCTCAGCCAGTTTAATCACCCCCAGAGAGCTGAACAACTGCGAGCACAATGGGACACAAAATCATTTTGTGTGTAAATGAGCGTGGCATTCTGCTCGCTTCCCTCTGCTCGGGCGGGCGGGGCTCGGCGGCGGCGGGCGGGCACGGGACCCGGGGCTCCCCCCGCAGCTCCGAGAAGCAGGTCAATACCTAGCCAGTTTGGAATCCCGCAGGCCCCCGGAGCACACGCTACACCGCGGAGGCCCCTGCAACAGGCGGTTTGGGCGAACCTCGGGAGGGCCGCGGCGCGCTGGGGCTGGGTCGTGGGGTCGTGGGTTTGCTGGTGGCATTGAAGGACTGAACTTGTGTCTCTTACTGCACCCACTTTTGTGCTTCTGACCTCAGCAGTGGTGTCGGGGGAAAGGTCGTTGTCCAGCACAGATGCGTTTGCCGGAGGCAGCACTGGAGGTTCTGGTCGAGGCGTAAAGCCTGGGGCTTCCAATGGTGAGTTTCTGCTTTGCCTTGAACATCAGGTTGCGCTTGTGATGGAAAAGAGGCTTGGTTGAGAGCAAGGACTGAAGAGCTTTTGTGATGGGTACTTGGTGTTAAATGTCACTTGAGTCGTGTTCCTGGTAGTTGGGAAAACATTGCGCAGTCCGCTTTGATAGAATTTCCATCGGAATTCCTTCCAGCACAGTTTATCCTCAGTGTGGCTTTCCTTCTGACTCCTCCCCCAGCAGAGCCTCCAAGGGCAGGATAACCCATCCTGAGGTCTGTTTTGGTCTCTCAGAACTTCCTTGAGATAAGTGACCTGCTCTTCTGAGCTGGCCAGAAGTCAAGAATGCCACAGGCAGCAGACCCTGAGTAGCCCCCAGTGACAGCATCAATGAAACATCACTGTCTAATAGCAACCCCCCACCCGCACACCAGTTTTGGGTCAGGGAACTGGCCAGGACACCCAAGGCAGAACAAATCCTAGGAGAGGAACCTTACTTAAATTGGCGGGATTGATGATGCTCATTGGACCTTGGTCCATGTTTTAAAATTGGAGGGTGAATCCCAAGACACAAGTCAGACCTGTGAGAGCTAAGTCCAGGTTAGGCTTGCGGGGACCAGCGTGTGTGGGGTGGGTGGGTGTGGGTGTTCACCGTGCCCCAGGAGACAGCCTCAAGTCCATGCAAGGGGCTGCATAGACCACCACCCCTCCAGCAGCGTCCTAGGGTGGCTTCTAGCGACTGAGGGACAGTCTTATTTCAGGTGGTCGTGGCATAGAGGAAGGTCGCTAAGTGACTGGGGAGGAGTAGGAGAGAGGGTCCATTTGCTGAGCTGCTGTCTGTTTCCTTCTGGTAGCTCTCTAATGCCTTGGGGAGGGGGGGTGTGATCCCGAGGGGGTCTGGAATACATTAGGCACAGACAAGGCCGTTCTGCGGGTCTGGGGAGAAACTGCAGAGGTGCGGGCTAGGCAAACAAAGACAAGTTTCCTCTCTTGGACGCCCTAGGGAAGAGGTGGCTTCCCTGCGTGACTTTTGCTCTTCCCCTGGCTTCTGCCAAAGGAGGCTGCTCTGTGTCTGGCCATTCACAAACTGCATCTTAACCACGGTGGAGACGGTGTTCAGAGAGGTCCCGGGCTCCCCAGCCCATGGAGGCTGGGGGATCCTCCCTGAGCTGTGGTCCACGGGGCTCTCTGCTGATGCAAGAGGAGACACGCTTGGTAATGTGGCTCTGAACCAAAATACCAGGAAAATCAGATTTGTTCTGAAACATTTTGGGGCAATAATGGTGAGCATATGCTTCAGTACTGTCATTAACCGAATTAGCAGACATGGAGCTGCCCAGAAAACACGTGTGTGAGTGTGTGCGTGTGTGTGTGCGTGTGTGTGTGTGTAAGCTGCTATGGCTTTGGAGCGTGGGGACAGGGTAGTGGTGGGTGGAACCCGGAGAGGGCTGTGTGGTGTGGGGGTCCCAGAGAGCACAGGCAGAAAGGATGGTTCCAAGCGTCTTTGAATCTGGCACTACGAGGAGTAAAAGCCCTGTGGTCTTGTTGGTGCTCCCCACAGATACTCTGGGCGGCGATGGAAGCCTAGATGCCTCACCGCAAGGAGCGGCCGAGCGGGTCCTCGCTTCACGCCCACGGCAGCGCCGGCACTGCGGTGAGAGCCAGCAGGGTGGGCTGGGGCAGCGGCCGGTGGCCCCCTCTTTGCCCCTTTCCCCAACGCCTGCCTGCTCACCGGCCGCCCGTCCCCACAGCCACCGCCTTCAAGAGATGGCTGTACGATTATGTATTTTTTGAAACAAAAATGCTCTTAATTTGATGTGAAATTTACTACATGTATAAAACTCAGCGCCTTAGGTGCTGAGGAAGTCACTAATTTAGAGGTGTCTCGTTACTGAGACAAACTTGCAAAAACCCCTGAATCCCAATTCACAAATTGGTGATTCGTTTGTCAGGGGATATTTCACATCTAACACATAAGCCCGCGACCTTTAATTAGAATTTTGCAGTTTGTTTTATGCCCCTGGAGGCTGACACCTTGAAAATTTTTTTTTCTTGATTTCTTATTGCTAATAAGCATCTTTCTTTTTTCCCTCTGGTACTTGGAAGAAAATGATACAAATACACTTAATTACAGCGGTGGCCATAATTTGTCAGCTGAATATGTGATCAGGCACAGGCAGGAGTGATCTGATTAGATCTGTGATCACATTGGCAATAAAGGGAGTGCACGGCTCTGTGGTGGAGAAACTCTTGTTCTCGCCTTGTGTCCATCTCCAGGAGGGAGGAAGCATGTCCCGGTTGTCTCTTACCCGGTCGCCCGTGTCTCCCCTGGCCGCCCAGGGCATCCCACTGCCAGCCCAGCTCACCAAGTCCAACGCGCCTGTGCACATCGACGTGGGTGGTCACATGTACACCAGCAGTCTGGCCACGCTCACCAAGTACCCCGACTCCAGGTAAGAGCCGAGCCCCACGTAGCACCAGGTGTGCTGTGGCTCCTGGCAACATGGGCCACCTGCTGCCAGTCGGGTCTGTCTCCTCTGCGGGCCACCAGGCAGGCTCTCCGGGGCCCACCTGCTCTCCCAGACCTGGGGCACCTAGGGGTCGGGAGGCCAAGGCCGCCTCTCGGAAGATGCTTTATACAGGGACTTGTGACCCTGTGTTGGTGGCATCGAAAGTGCCAGGTGGAGCTCCTGACCCACCGGCAGAAGCCCCTTATCCGGAGCCAGGCCCACCTGAAACTGGCCGGCAGCTGGCTGGGGAGTCTTAAGTGCCTTCAGGTTCCTTGGGACTGAGACTCAGGCCTGGCCTCTGCAGAGGATCATTTGTAAGCCATGCTGCGTCCTCGGGATGGTGTTGGAGAGAAGTATTTAATCCTATTTCCTGCTCTAACCCTCGGTTAAGTACAGAAGGGGAGAGGGGAGTGGGAGTTGCAATTTGCCATCTTTGTCTGAGTGGCCCCTGCTAGAGGCTCCCTTGGGCGGGCGGTGACTACCTAGGAATTCCAGGATGTTCAGGCATATCCAGGGCTGTGAATGAGCATGAGCCTCATACCCCCATCAGCAGACGAAGTGTCTCTGACCAGGAGCCTCCCAACAGGGCACCTTGCTCTCCGCCCAGCTCCCTGCAGCTCCTGGCCCCTGGGCCCATTTGTGGGAGGTGCTGGGAGGTGCCGCTTGGGCATGACCGTCCCAGGGGCAGACGTGGCTTCCTGTTGGCATAGCAGCAGGGCTGACGGAGCTGGGGCGGGCCTCTGAGCATCTCCTGGAGGTGACGCAGTGTGCTGCTTGCTCCTGGCACGGCGAGGCAGCCACCACGGAGGGCTGAGCAGCAGGAGGGCCAAGGCTGCAGGGTATCGCCCTTGTTTTATACATTTAAAAAAAAACAAGAGGAGCTAATTAAGCCCCCAGACACCGAGGGATCATCTCTGGGAAGCTTTCTCGTCAGTCTGCCTTGTCGCCGGCACAGTGGCTCAGCGCCGAGCCTTCCGAGCGCATGGCACCTTGAGGAGGGCCAGAGTGGAGCTCTCCACGGGGGCAGGAAAGCTCCCTCGAGGAGCTGGTGCTGGAGGTGGATATAGCGTCCAGTTCGGAATCTGGGGAGCCCAGGATACAGATGGCAGTTGGACTCACTCAGCACAACAGAGCCTAGGCCTGGGGTGCTTGTGAACTTGGGGCTTGCAGCCACGAGGCCCCACCGGCAGTGCCGGCCTGCGCGCTCGCTTGCAGAGCTCTGTCTAGGATGGGAGATGGATTCTGCTTATTTAATTTCAATTTTGCCTTCTGCGGCATTCCCGAGTTGTTTGAGATAGATCATCTCTTAATCGGTTGACGACATTTGTGAGTGAAATTCATAAAACCCTTGCCCACAACCTCTCTGAAGAGTGTTTCTTGAAATCAGACACTTGCCTTTCTAGAGTAATCACAGCTCAGGCCTGCGGGGAATGGCTGCCTCGTTCTTGTCTTCAGGGCTGCTGCCTGGGATCAGCAAGGGCAGGGGCAGCCCTACCCCCACTCCCATACCCACAGTGCCGCTCCTCCTTGCCCATCCTCCTGCTCTGCCGTGTGGGGCAGGCCCTCTCACTGGGGGGCTGAGGCCCCCTGTGGCCCCATGATCCGGCATGTGGGACCCTCGGCAGCAGGACGTGCCCAGAGGGGGTGGCGGTCTGCATTCTTTCCCCAGGGCTGGGGCTCTGAGATGAATCCGTCTTTCTTGCCTGGATGGCTTCTGGCTCGGGGCAGAGCTGCTCCCTGGGCCTGAAGCTTTGGCCTAGAGGCCAAGGGGTGGCGTGACCCGTAGGACAGTCAGGGGACAGTGGGTCAGGCCGGGCCTGGGAAGTGGGTTGGACAGCTGTGCTGGCAAGAGCCCCTCAGATCTCTCTCGTCCTTCTTTAAGTGAATCATTAAAATTAAAAAACATTTTTTCACCAATTCTGGAAACCAAGATCAATCCCTCACCCAGTGGCACTGATGTATGAATCACCAAGAGAGAGAGAAGTAAGAGTGCTGAGGTCACCCTGGGTTGGGGGGGTTCTGGATATCAGGCAAGTCCCAAGTGGGCAGTGCCGTGAGATCAGGGGGCTGGTGCCCCACAGCCGTGGGTCCCTGAGCCCACAGGACTATGCCCGGGCTTCTGGTTCTCGGCTCCTCGGGGCGG